CACACACACAGAACACATCATCCCGGCATACTATAAATCATAAGTGCGGGCCCTTCCCGGCAGCGATCGCTGCCAGTACTTGGCTGGAGGCAGCACACACAGAGAACACATTATCACGGCGTACTATAAATCATAAGTGCGGGCCCTTCCCAGCAGCGATCGCTGCCGGTACTTGGCTGGAGGCAGCACACACACAGAACACATCATCACAGCATACTATAAATCATAAGTGCGGGCCCTTCCTGGCAGCGATTGCCATCGATTTTTATGGAATTCTGTCAACCTTTGTGGTCCGGTCAGCGGTTCTGTTGCGGGTGCCTATCATCCATAGACGGCGGCGCGAATTCTGTAACACTTGGTTTCATTCTGTAAGGCTGTGTGGATTTCTGTAGTTGTCTATGCTGACGTCAGTATGGCCCTACCCGTTTCTGTAAAACGCTTTTTTTCTCTATGGCTCCCTCATAAATTCTGTTGATTGTACAGAATTTTAACGGAGCCAAACAAATTCTGTTGGGGACGGACAGATGGGGCCACCTCTAGGTGGGCGGGTGTTTACGAGGAAGGGAAAAATTGAAGGAAGAAAGTTGGATGTGGTTGGCGCCTCCGTTGGCAAGGAAAACGGTTCTCGAACCTTGTTCGGGCAAATGAAAATGTAGGCACGAGTTGTGTACGGGTAATTTCTTGCGTGTGCCAGCCGCATCAACCCCCTCTCCCTTAAAGATTAAATCAGTGGTTGCCAAAAGATTTATTTTTGGAATATGCCATTTAAAATAACATTTTCAGCCACATGCCTACGTACTTGGAGCAGCGCATGCCCTCTCAGGCCCGAGGCGTTTGCTTCGTTGCCCTCCGACGTATGAAATCAACGATGCACCCCTCCCGGTGCTCCACACTGTTCCTGATGCCAACCGCTGATACGGAGACGAGACGGAGACGAGCCATCGGTTGGGCTTCTGGGCGTCACGCTGTTTTGGATACGTGCCACGCCTATCACTATCAGAAATCAACATGTTTGCGATGCCAGCTGCGATGCCATTTCGACACAAATTGGCGCCATCACAGTCTTTGCGAAGGCACAAAAGTGGGTGTGATGCCAGCAATTAGTGTCAAATGGCATCGCAGTTGGTATCACAAGGATATCGGTTTCTACTGGTGTATGGAGGCGGTTTTGAACTGGGCGCCCTTTTTCTTGCTTTCTTTTTTTCTTTTTTTCAGGGTTTACGGCGTGTGTGAACAGGGCCCCCGTCTCCTGTCCACATCAGTAATCGGTTCCTGATTACGATTAAATCCATACCGATGCCGAATAAATCGAGACCGATACCAATCAAATCGATACCGATAACGGTTGAACCGAGGCCGATACCGATTAATCGTCCTCAAACGATCAAGCTTCGCCACAGCTGCCACCCAACTCCCCCATATCCCCCTTTCCACCGCGCCTCCCTCGTTCCCAGTTCGGAAAGTGTTCAGCGCTTGCCTTCGTCACTTTGGCCTAACCCCAGCCCCACGCACAATCCGCCTACCCAATCTAAGGCAAAGGCAATCTTGCCTTGCCCATCATGCGCGCCCTGTGGCTGACGGACATCCACTTGGACCACCTGCGCGATGCCGCGGCTTTCGCGGCGTTTGCCGCGCGAGTGTCGGTGGGCCACGCGCCATTCGACGGGGCCATCGTCACTGGCGATATCTCCACGGCGCAGCACCTGAAAGGACACCTGGAGGCGCTGGCCGCCGCCTGGGGGAGGCCGGTGTGGTTCGTGCTGGGCAACCACGACTACTATGGGGGAGGGATCAAACAGGTTGGCCTGGAGGCATCTGCGGATCGGCGCAGTCTTTTGTTCTTTTCTCGATAGTGGGGATGTTCCTTTGCATCAGATTTATGTTGCTTTGCAAAATTTGCCCTTGAATCTTCAAGGGTGTGTTAGAATTCCTCTGCATCACAATCATGTTTCTGTTGCTTGAATTTGCCACAGAAATACAAGGCCCGGCCCTTCTTCAGGTTGGCGGCTTGTGATCTGGCGTGTGCCTTTTCTTGTGTGCTGTTCATTCGGAGTGATTCCGTGGCTTCGTTGATGAACGGGCTTCGGGGAAGGGTGGGTGCGACACTGAGCTGCGTGCAGATTGCGAGCAGCGTTTGCTGCCAGTAATTTGCTCAGTGCTGGGCACTAAATTTTGGCTTGACAATGAGGGTGTCCATGTGCCATCCTTGTGGAGGAGCTCGTGCCACCCTGGCTTCCCATTCCTAAATAGGCAGCTGTATTTGTTGATGAACATTTTCACTATGTCTTGTTGGACATGTTCTGGGCATGTACACATCCAAGAACGTTGCCATGTCCCACGGACGTTCATAGTATCTGCTTGCAATGCGTGTTGTCAGACATTGCTACATGGTTGATGTCCCCAACTTAGATATATCCAAGCTGTTTTCAGCAAGGTGCTAGAGCACTGGTTTGTCTTGGCGAAGACAGTTTAATAGGAGTACAGCCCTTCTTCTGGGACCATTCTGTCACTTCACCACCTCATTTGTCTGACTGGGAACTTGCAGAGACTTGGTGGCTCGAGGGCCTCCTCTTTCACCGTGCACCATTAGTGGGGATGAGCTTGTTCGCTGCTTCTGCTCCTACATGTCCAATTGGTTTTGCTCTCCTTTGGGAAAGAATCTTTTGGCTGCATCAATGTGCAATTATCCGGGGGCTGTTCAAGGGGGCTTCCATGGCTCCCTTTGCTTCTGAAGAAGCGCTGTGACCCATGTGTTATGTTACATTGTCAGTGTTTGATGCAATTGATGTATTGACGGTTGATGGATGGATGACTGGAATGATTGATGGCCGATCGACGACACATTTGATCACAATGATGAGCAGATGGTTGATCGAAGGATCAAGGAAATGATCTACGACTGATCGACAACAATTTTGACCAAATTGATGAATGGATGGATGGTGGATGAATGGAATGATTGATGGCTGACAGGCGGCTGTCTGACAACAGTGATCAGATTGATGGATGGATGATTGGTGAATTTGAATGCTTGATGGATGTCCAGGTGCGCACAGAAATGGCCAGTCTGGTCTCACATCCTTTGCTCACCTACCTGCCCCAAGCGGGGCCGATCAAACTGTCGCCAACTGCCAGCTTGGTGGGAATCGACGGGTGGGGCGACGGCCGGCTGGGCCGCCCGGAGACGACGCCCGTGTTGCTTAACGACTTCGTGCTGGTGAGGGAGCTCGAGGCGTCAAAGGGGCGAATGGGTTTGTTGAGCACAGTCAGGCGGCTGGGGGACGATGAGGCGGCGCGGTGCCGGGAGCTGCTGGCCGCGGCGGCGGAGAGGTCGAGAAGAGTGGTGGTGGCGACCCACGTGCCGCCGTTTAGGGAAGCCTGCTGGCACAGAGGTGCGGTGGGGCGTGATTTTATTCAAATGCAAGCATCTTGGCGTTAGAATAATCAAATTCCAATATCTCACATTAAATACGTTTTATGAAATCCCGTCGTATTGACCGTATACGTATCTATCGGTGTATCGTATGTGGCTGATATGGGGGGGGAGGAGGGAGCGCGAATCATGTGCCGCCGTTCCGGGAGGGCTGCTTTCACAAAGCTGCGATGAGGTGCGCAAAAGGCACTTCGTATTTGATATTAAGCATGTGTATCGATACGTATCGTATACGATAGAATTGAACCTGGCAGTGGGAGCCGAAACAGGAATCGTATACGGAGGTAAGAGTGCTACACACTGCCGCTCTGGTGCACCGACGCTGACGGTCTTTTGTTCTCCCTCTGGGTGGAGCAAAGAACCACGCCTAGGGGAGAGAAATTCAAAAATCGTACTGAATCGTGTTGGATCCTGTTGATCGTGTCGGTGAGGATTAGGCTTGTTTTTTACGCCGTAAAAACTGATCGCATTTGCGTTTTTACGCGTAAAAATAGTTTTTACGTTTTTAGCGTCAGAATGCGTAAAAATACGTAAGTACAACGTAAAAACTGCCTGGTGTACATAAGGACAGTACCTACAGATGTGCGGAGTCCGGAGAGTGGCAGCCAGACGCCTTGGAAGAGGCAGAAGATGAGTTTTTGTTAAACGCCATTATCGCCCTTGCCAAGTGCGAGGTGGACATTGTGTTGAGAGTGCTGGAGATGGCGGAGGACTGATCATTGTACGCAACTTTTGTCGCGTAATGTACGTGTCCCAGGGAGCCGTAAAAATGTAAAAATAGCCGTAAAAATAGGCCTTTTTGCAAGTTTACGTTTTTACGCGTAGAAACGTAAAAGTAAAAATGTAAACGTAAACGTAAAAACCAAGCCTGATGAGGATTGTCAACACGCTGATTACATTTCGAACAGAAAACCAAATTACTTGTTCAGGAAATGAATTGAGCATAAGAAGGCGAGTTTCGAAAGAAGGGCATTGCTGTGCTGCCCAGGTGGGATTTCCGACGATGACTGGCTGCCTTGGTTCACCTGCAAGGCCGTGGGGGACGCGCTGGTGGAGGCGGCCGAGACGCACCCCGACAAGCAGTTCCTGGTTCTGTGCGGGCACACCCATACGTCGGGCACGGCGACGATTCTGCCAAACCTGGTGGTCCGCACGGGGGGCGCGGTCTACGGGAGTCCCAAAGTGGAAGACGTGCTAGAATTTGCGTGATGTGGAATGCACCCACATGTAAGATTTCGTTGACGATTCTGATTATATGGAATGCAGGGGACAATGCTGGAAAAGGATTTGGGGTATTGTGTAGTGAGAGCAAAATGTTTCTGGAGTAGATAAAACGTTGGCAAAGTAGAAATTGGCCAAAAAGAGGAAAGTGGCGGTAGTTTTCGACTTGAATGTCGGCGGTGTGCAGTATGTCCAATGGGTCTTTTATGGAGCTGCTTTGCTGTGACATGGTTTCTTGAGGCCTCGCCCTCAATGGGCCATATTTTAAGGCGAAACGCCAATGAAGAGATTGGCGGTGACGGCATGGTGAGGATGACGGCCGCCTGTCAAGCGGGAATGATGTGGTTGACTTTGTGAATGCAGCTCAACTTTATAGCATAAGCGATCAAATCGTTGATTCAGGAAGTATTACACATGCAGCAAACAAATCATGACCTGTGCGTTTTGGGCGCAACTGGGATCTGATGGCTGTGCTTTTGCAAGCGAACGCAACAGGGAGGAAAGCTTGTGACAAGTTCATATCGCCATGTGGCGATGAATGGTGCAAAGGGCTCCAAGACCTTTCGGCCAGTCATCTGAAAATGTCACCAGGGCAGCTTTGGAGGCCCGTCGTCTCGTGTGAGCATGGCCTGAGTTTGGATTTGGAATTCGTGTTTTTTGCAATACCATATTGTTTCAGGCTTCAGCGATAAATCATGGAGGCTGATTTGTTCCCAGGGAGGACGGGGAGCTGACGGCCATACCTCCCTGCCTTGACAAATACCACCTGCCTGTATATTGGCAAGGGGAGCTGGCGGCCACCTACTCCACTGACGTGCAACATTCCAAGGAATGTTGGTTGAACAAGGGTCGCATCAACATCAACTGTCCAACTTAAAAAATGGGGTTCCATCATTGTCAATTGCCTAGCTTATTGAGCTCTGATAGGTCACTGCCCGGTTCGCCACTGCGATGAGGCGGTCTGGGAATGAGCTGGACGCTACGGTGTTGCAGACAGCGTACAGAGTCCCGAACAGCGATGTCCCTTTACGGCCAGGCCATCCATTCAGTGCGTTTACCATGATCATGTCTCGTCGTCTCTGTCGTCATCGGCCATTTTTGCATTACAAGCAACGAGATAGCCACGACAGTGACGTCATAGTACGAAGCTGACGGCTGCCTCATTGCCTTGTTATGCGGAAATAATGATGATGATGATGATGACAGTGACATCGGCGCTGTCACTGTCAGGAGGCGACCGGGCCTGAATCCGATCCGGCACACATACCAGATATGCTCCGGGATACGGGGAGTCACCCAAGCGCCCAAAAGCATCTCCCTCTCTCCCTCTTCCCAAACCTCTCCACTTCACCCGCTCCGCCCCGTCTCTCCTCCTAGCCCTGCTGGGCCGGTGCCCTTCGGCGAATGAGGGCGGCGCCGATCGACGCCGAGGCGCCGACGCCTGCTCCGCGGCGGTCGTCGATCGTGCGATCGATCCGCTGCGTCGATCATGGCCACGGCAGGGATTTCGGAGCGGGGGGCGCGGGGCGATCGGCCGAGTCGCGGCGGCGGGACCTGTTGCTGCTGGCTGGCACTGTGCTTGCGTCATCGGCGACAGGATCTGCGGGGCGCGCGGAGGTGAGGGTCCAATTCCATTGATTGCATTCTTTACGCAATATTACGGGATTTTGTGGTCAAGCTTGGGATGCCGGGCAAGGAAGTGAAGGTCCAATAGTTGGGCCTTCACTTTGGATTCGGACTCCAATTCCTTTTTTTGCATTCCTTTCATGGCATTATGGGATTTCTTGCCGGACCGGAGTTGTCGGGCGAAGAGGTGATGGTGTTCCGATGTGCGGATGAATGGGAAGATGGGGGATGGAAAATGTTCTTGGATGTTTGGACAACATTTGCACGGCGGCCGCCGCCCTGCAAGGTGCAAGGCCCCCGCTTTCCCATTCGAAGGCGATGTTAGGCACAGGAAGTCCGCCTTGTTAAGCACGGGCGTTTGGCATTGTCTTTCAGAGGTAAATTTCAACAGAGGCGTCGGGCGCGGAGGTGAGGGGGTGTGGCCGGCTTGCTGAACAGGGACATGAAAGGGAAAGGTCACTCGCCAAACACAGAGACGAAACGGACGTTATGGCGACCTAACTTCCCAGCCCATTCTGTGGCATTGATGGCATTAGGCTTTGGATTTATGACACGTAGGAGCAGATCGAAATTATGGAAGGGACTGATTCTCACTTGGCAAGGATGTGGAAGAGATGCTCCAAAGTTGGGAGTGAATTTCTGGCGTTCCTCTCTTCCTTTCAATATTTTCACAGCATTTCGCTACGTTCAAGAGTGCATGTGCCACCCCATCCTGACGGAAGAGAGGCAGGCCTTGTGAGATGCAGGTGGTGATTCAATGCGACAAGGTACTTTTCCTGAATTCTTAGGGCTGCCTTCTTCTTGTGCAACAGCAGAGTACCCTCGCACCACACTTGGTGACACCATGTGCACAATACAGCAACATCGTCAGCTACTCTTCAGTCAGTTGCTCCCATTCAATTTGAGTTCGTCTTGAAAATCGGGGACCGAAATAATTGATTTATTGGTAGTAGAAGTTTGTGATACAATGGGGGCCTCACCCCAAGCCAGATGTTCTGTGAAGATATCCCCACGCAAGACATAACGATGGCCAAAATATCATGTGTAACAACTGGCGGTTGTGGTGGGAATGTGAAGCATGTCCACTGCCATGGTGCAATGGTCATCCCAGTTTCCTGTTTGTAGATATTGCAGGGCAGTTTGAACACACTGTGCCCTTTCCACAGCAAGAACGCTGCTAACCTTGCCATCATTTGAATTTCTACCTTTTGACAGTTGCTTTCTTGCTGAGGAGCATTTGACACAGTTTGGGAAGCACAGATCGGGAAAATTTGTGGATACATTTTCTGCACCGTAAGAAATGCGGCGCAAATCTCCCAAGCAAGAGTGGCACGCACCAGGGAGCTATGCTGCAGCTCCAGTGTCTGAATGTACTCCAGAGCATGTTTGTAGGCCAATCTATGAATGTCTGCCCCCCGTTTTCCACCTGTTGCAGCTCCCCGCAAGGCAAGAAGCAAACAGATCTGGGCAGGCAATTTGATGAGGATTGGTCAGCTGAATCCACCTACCTTTGGCAATAAACAAGCAGCAATGATGGCAACGCACAGCCTGACAATAGGGTTGTGTTCTCTTGGCTGAAAGCTACGTGCCCATCTTGTGCTAAAGCAGCTCGGTGCAGGCTGCTGGGCTATAGTTTGTTTTCTACTGTGTTATTTCCCTGGTTATGTTTTTCCGCAAAGTTGATTGCCGCTTTGGTGATACAACAACTGTGAGCCAAGGTGCAGGATGCACAAACTGTGGCACACACTGATCAGTGCAAAATTTGCATTGTGGCATCAGGTGGATGCCGCAATGTGCGGTGCTGCTTCCTGTTGTTACAGACATCACTGACATTCAGCAATGGATACCTCTGTCCTGCAATTGCCTTAAGGTCATCAAGCAAAGTGCATTCACAGACATGGCAATGTTGGCCGAGCACAAATGCTGCTATTGCTCTGTTATTACTAATTTTGAACACGCAAATTACTTGTGCAGTGAAACATCACTCCTTTTCAAATGCCAGGTTGGCATAATTGCCATGGGTTTGAGTGTACTGTTAACTGAATCTTGAGTGATAGCCTGACTAATTAATACATCGATTGATTAGTTGACTGATTGTTGTGCAGGCTTCAGACGTGGCAGCCGATGCCCCGAGGCAGCCTTCCACCAGCTATGGACAGGAGGGGGAAGTGGGAGGCCAGAGTGGAGCTGGCCTCACCCAATTCAATTTCTCACGACCAGGACCACTGACACCTGTCAGATTGCCCAAGCTGGAACACACCTGTGCAGGTTGCTTTCCCCAATGCGTGGCAGACAGGTGTGTGAGATTGAGACAAGTATGGTTTAAACTATTGGACACAGTTGGCAGCCATGCCAGGCCCATTTGGGATTCGTGACTCTGAAAGAACAGTCATGTGGCAGCCAGCATCATGTGCTGGTTTTTCCTTTTGTATCCCTATCCTAGTCATGACAGCATTATATACTGAATGTTGTCCACGCACCTTGAATCAAGACAGCAGGCAATGCAAACCACGCAATTTGAATCAAGGCAGCAGGCCATGCAAACCATGCAACTTGAATCAAGGTAGCAGGCTATGCAAACCACGCAACTTGAATCAAGGTAGCAGGCTATGCAAACCACGCACCTTGAATCAAAATAGCAGGCTATGCAGACCAGCAGCATGGCTGTCCCACTCAACCCATCGTTTGCAGTCTGCTAACTCCAGCTGGCAAAAACGCAATGGTGTGTGAGAAAGCAATAGGTGGAACAGAGAATGGCACTGATCGTCGAACCTGTTGAGACAAGTATGTCATTAGTGCAGAGGCTCATTGATCACAGCAGCTGAGATCTTGGAAGCTGTTTCTACATATGTTGCACTACTTCATGCCATGTGTGGCAAGATGTTTTGTGCTGTTTCTGTGCACAGGTGTCTGATTCGACTGGACGTGCTGTACCCTAAGGGCCCCTTAGTGGAGGGACGGCCATACCCACTGGCTATTATCACTGGTGGTTTTCTGGTGCCATCCGAGGAGTATTTGTCATATGCCGAGAGGCTGGCCAGCTGGGGGTGAGTTTTGGTCCAGTGCGATCTGTGATTCGTTGCCGAATTTAGAAATGCTAGAGTTCAATATATTCAGTGCGTTTGGTACATTTGGTACATTTGGTACATTCAGGACATTCGGTACATCAGTGCTGCCCTTGTGGGTAAAGAGGGTATTTGTGCACAAGGTGTAGGGTTTTGGCTTATGGGCTGGGATTTTCAACGAATGGGAAATACTTGCACAACTGGCCAATACCTAATGAGCAAAAGAAGGAGGTTTGTGGGTGGGTGGGTGGGGGGGGGGGCAGGTGCCACATTGCATGGCATGCTTCATTGCTAGTGAGGAGGTGATCTTCGATGCAAGCAGGACTGGCCCTCTGTCACGGTGGCCTGATGGACGTATACATTCACATTGTATGTCACATCAGCCCAGAAGTACTAACGCCCAGAAAGCACTCTGACTGGTGAAAGGGCAGCTCAAACTATCTTGTTCTCAATGGAACGATGGGTTTTGGTTGTTGCAATCCGTGCACTTCAGGCTATTGCTTCCCACCTAGTGCGTTGCACCTTTGTTTCAAAAGAATGTACGCAGCTGATGAAGTGAGGCAATGGCCTGAGCCTCTGAAATGTGGGTCAAAAGATCCAGCAGGATGACAGGGGTTTTGCTGAAGGACATTTCTATTTGCAAGTTCATGTCTTGTGAGACACAATTTGGGCAGTGTCGTACGTCGCTGGTGGAAAATCCAATTGAACGGCCAAGTGATGCATGAGCTTGCCCTGTATTGCAGCTGTCTGCATATAACACAATGTGGGCCTGACGACTGAAGATTGCCCATTTCATGACTGTTTATCCTGTGTTATTGTTGGTTTAAAGATCGTTTTTACGATGATTCATTAAAAAGGAAAATATGAGATTCCTTGTAGCAGGAAATAGGTACATGCCACACAGTGGGCATCCCACTACGGAACAGAAAGGCAAGGAAAGCTGTAGGCATTTCAACTAACACCCTCGCAGAAATTTAAGCACAGCAAACTTTGCTGTGCTTTGCTGAAGAAACCACTGCCAAGTTCCAATTTTCTTGTGCCAAGATTTCACAAAGGAACACTTGACAGTAACTGTCGAGTGCTGTGCAGTGCAGATACGTCGCCGTGCTGTACGACAAGATCGAATCCCCCGTGGACGCCCTGGACGACATCGTCTCCGCGGAGTTCATAAAGGAGATCATAGACTGGGCGGGAGTGGATCCGCTAGTCAGTCAAGTGGCTGACAACAGGCGGGTCTACCTCGTGGGCCACTCGCGGGGGGGCAAGGTGTCCGTTCTGGCTGCCCAGGACGACAGCAGGGTTGTGGCACTTTGCCTCATCGACCCGGTTGACAACACTGTCTATGCACCGCTGGCGCCCGGGTGAGTTGCACCTTAGTTCCTATATGGGTTGTAGTTACCGTTTGGTCTAGGTTTGGGATTTGCTTTTTAGTTTAGGTTGATTCCACAGCGGGTGATACGCCGTTTAGGGAAAGGTAAAATGCCCATCCTGGCTTTCCGGAATGAAGGGAAGCGTTATGAGCCCGTGGCTGATTGAACTGTTGGGTATCAACCGGCATCTGCCGCCTGTCTTCTCACTCCCTGGTTATGTTTCCATTAATGTGATGTCATGGCTCACTTCTTTGGTCATTGAAGTATCACGTGAGTAACTTGTCTTTGAACCAATACCATAAGTCATCTAGGCAAGTTTGTTCCCATGTATCAAATCATGGGTGATCACTGCTCTTGTGCCTCTTGGAGATCTCAGTCCATTAGGTGCCAACGACCCCATGCGGAACTTGATCGAACGTTGCTCCACGATGGCGGCACACACAATGCTTGGAGTCAACACGAAGAGATCTGCCACACATTCTAAGCTTCGCATGACGAATTTGGTGCAGGTTTCCATCAGCCATCGCCGCACTAAATTCCGTCCAGGAGACGGTCCCCATGGCTGTCATCGGCGCGGACCTCGCGCATGACTGCGCTCCAGAAGAATCCAATTACAAGAGATTCTTCGATGCCGCACAGTCGCCGGCCTGGGAGGTGGTCCTTAAGGACACAGGGCATTTCCAGTTTCTGGACCGCAGCACAGCCGTCGAGAAGCTTGTGTGCGTGACAGGTGCGCTTGCTAAATCCATGTTGATGAAATTCCATCAATTGCTTGTCAGCCACCGAGTGTTATGTCGCCACCCAACCGTACAAGTACAATATGTCCATTTCCCAACTCCATGTTCATATCCCAAGCTATGCGCGCGATGCATCATGGCATTCTTAGCTTCAATTCAATGTTGAGCGTTACAAAGCATCCCCAGCATCGGCTCTTT